AAAAAAAAAAAAAAAATACAAGTTGTCTATTGCTTTCAGTCTACTTTCTAATAGCTTCGAAAATTAATCTTATATAATGCAATCCAATGTAGTACAAATAAACTTATGTGTCGCAAATATGCTGTATAAAAGTAAAACTAAAACTCTTAGCAACTAAAGATGTAGCTGGAACTAAATCTCAACCAAATCCTAATAACTCTATAAGGTCATCTGTTATTCAGGTCAACATGTTTCTTATTGTTAAACTGAAATGATATAGCAATAATTACTTGCCTTCTCTTGCTCTGGGGTATAAATTTGTTTTCCCTTCCTCTCCCACCTCAAATATGCTTGAATTTGTACAAGATCCTCAGGGACTGAAACATTTAGGATTTTTGTCTCTCTCACAGGAATTTTAACATGAAAATTACCTCCATCATTCTTAAACCTGGAAAGATGAATTTTTTTTGGGTTTGGTGGTTAATATTTCAACTATGATACCAGAGAGTTTTCAAATAAAATGTTTCCTTACCATTTATTCTGAGCTTCATCCAAAATAAGAAACTCTAGAGCTTCTATTGAAGGATCATCAATCTCTATTCTCAAGGATGCATTTGAGCCAGTCTAAGAAAAAAAATCATGTAAAAAACAGAGTGGTTATCAAACAGATTAGTAAAAAGGAATTCTTCCAATTTCCACCATGCAATAAAAAACTTACTTTTACAAATGGAGTCCTGAGAGCTCTTTTCTTATACACCATAGTTCCAACTGGATGACTATTGGGAAGTATCCATTTCCTGTGCAAAAAGAAAAACAAAAATGAAAATCACACATAGTACAAATTTGAGAGAATAGTGAACTGTAGAAGCTGACACTGAGGTTTCTGCATGAAACTGGACTTACTCTTTTCGATTTTTTATTGCTCCCCAGTGTAGAAGTAGGCTGTCACTGCTACTTGTAACTAAGATTTCTACAACGGATACAGAACTAGAAGTAGAAGGCCTAACATCAACCTGTTTAATTGCACTCAAAATCCTTTGTAAATATGATGTCTCGAATCTAATGTTCTCAGGATTAATTGTAAATATCCCACACAAATACCTGTAATTCAACATTTCCATCAAGCGTGAACTTTTCCGCAAGCTGCTATGGAAAAACAATGATCAAATTAAACAAACTACAAGTTAACCATATATGTCGAATGCATGCATATGGAAGAAGAAAGAGTATGATCATGCTAATATTGCCTCAATGCCTTTACTAGTGTTGTAATGTGTTGGACATTAAGGAATTGAGAAATTTTGTGTCAGCAATTGTTAGCAGCACTCAGGGAATACCAGAATGGACTCCAATTTAGTGATGAATATAACATAACTATAAATTATCAAAATAAGAACAGAAGCTTTCTGAGGGAGAATCAACACAACAAGAAAGGTGGATACTAGTGCGGAAAACAAATAATTCTTGATACTGCTAAAGCTAAGATCTTTGATCTCTTTTACTTACTGACCAAAAGAACTAAATAAAATATGCAGTGTAGCTGAGAAATGTTCAAAAGAATATTGCTAAATTGTGAAATACATCAATCACTTGTCTTTAGCTCGATATAATACCAGAATAGTTTGCCTCCCTTAAACCCAAGATGAAATAATTGGCCAGAAAAGTTTTCTTGTGGCCTCTGAAGATCATGTTTGATGACCCAAGTGAATAAATAACTAATTTTCATTCCAAATACATGCTTAAAAAACCAAATATTTGGAGCGACTCGATACATATCTAGTATGCCGATGAATCTCTATTCTTTTTCTCTTTTATCAAAGATGCAATTATGCAGACTCCTTGTACTCGTACCACCTCAATTATTTCCATCACTCATTTAAAGTGTGGGCTCCTGGTACTCATTCACTTTAAATTGACAATTATCCACATTTCAGTTACTAAATATTTCTTTCACCGCCACTCATTAGACTGCACCATGTCCAAAACACAGACTCAGCTTACTTTTCTTATATTTGATCTGCTAGAATTATAATACGTAAAAGCTCTTCGTTAAACCACTATTTTTTATAACATTTAAAGCGCACACATGACATATGAATAAACAATTATATTTAGCAATTTTACCTCGGGGGAAGGATCAGCGGCTAAAACTGCCTGAGGAGATCTAGAAACAGACTGCTGCTTTCCCATCTGTAATTTCTTCTTCAGCATAGTCAATCTCGTACCATGAAACTCAGTTAATAAAGGCGATCTTCGTATTAGTGAATTTACTTGAGGTTGAAAAAAAGAATTTCCCCCAATGCAAGTCGAAGTATTGATTCTGCTCTGATGGTCCAACACCGTCGGAGAAAGAAAATTCTTATGCAGCAAGTTATTCCCAATTGAAGTGCTCATATTATCCCAATCCTATAAAAGCACCGTTCACAATCACAACTGCAAAATTCAAAATTCAAAACGCAGAGTGCAAGGATAAATTCTAAGACATGCAACACCCATATTATACACAATACATTCACGATTCATTTTTCCAATTAACGCCACCTAATAAACAGTCCAACTTCAAATTCTTCAGCATACAATAAACGGGCATAACATCGACTGGAAATAATCCAAAAAATTCAAATCAAAGAATTAAAAAAAAATTAAATGAAGAAAATGATCAATTACAAAACACAGTTTGTGGAATTTTTACCTCAATTCAAGCTCAAAATTCAGAAGCCGATATATAAATGCATAAAAATTCCGCAATGTGTATATATAGTGAGTGAAAATAAGCTTGGAGAGTGCAAACTTGAGATTGGGAACGGAGATCGCAGTATGTAATAAATAATCATTGGAGTGAATTATCGAGGATTGGACACGTGGCGTGATATGGGTGGACCATAGTCAATAAAAGCTATGTGAAAGTGCGAGAGTTGTCACGTGCGAGAGATGGGCGGCAGGCGTTGTGTCCGTGAGTACCGGCTACGTTATTGGTTTGTTACTTTGTTTGATATTTTAATTTTTTGACATTTACTGGAAATAGTACTGTGACACTTTATTTTATGATATTTTTTTGGGCTTAGATATTTTCTTGCAACTTGCAAGTGTGAATTTTGGCACTGAAACTGTGGCTAAAAATGACTTCAAAAGGAAATAGAATTTTGATTATTATGAATTTGTCATGTATTGATGAATTTGTTTTAATTTCAAACATTCAGATGAACTTCATATTCATTTCAATTTTTATTCAGTTTTGAACTCGTTAATGAAATGTTTATTCAATAAGGCTTCTCGACACTATGGCTTGAGGAAAAATGGAAATTCAACACTCTTTAGGACAAGTTTTATGCCTATGTGTTTTCAAATGTATATAATTTCAAGAGACAGCTTAGCACAAACATTCTCAGTATAATGCTCATGTTTGTTATAGATTAAAATCAAATTTTAACCCTTGTTTGTGCCCCATTCTTTTAGAAAAATATATTTTTCAATAGTATTTTGATATCATTTTAACTACACATTTTTTAATAAAATAACATTAAACGCAAATCAAAAAAAGTTTCTTATTTTTTAACTACACATTTCTCATCAATATACTATTCAAAAATTCATTCTTCCCAAAAAATGGGGCTCAAACAAGGGTTTAATCTTAAATTAAAGTCAACAATTAATTTTCATCAAACATTTTATATAATTCGTAACTTTTCAACTATACATTTTATTAACTTTTATCAAAATATACTAAAATTTTAATTTTAATCTACATCAAACGTGTTGAAAAGGAATCAAACCTCCTTACTCTTTAGTGCTTCGTGTTCTTTCTATTCCATCACATTCCATTGCAAGATTTTGAGTCTCAAGTAGAAATAATGTTTATCTAATTTCCAAAGATTGATACTGTCTAAGTATTTGCTCCATTGCTCATTTAGTGACCACTCTATATACTATGAATAATATTATTTACAGTCGCTTACTACCGCAATAGCCTTTCGTAGCATACATGTGACAATTAGTGATTTTTTACATAAAGTAAAAAAAAAATAATCATATTAATATATCAAATTATTAACCGTCACATGTATGTCATGTAGAACGACTATAACAATGAGCGACTACAAATAGCATTACTCGTATGCCATTCCTAAAAGAGGAATTGAAACTCCACGAGATTTTGAGTTCTTTGTGCTCATTATTTCACTAATAAAAATGCATTTTGGAGTATATATTATTTTATGAAAGAAACAATTACTTAATTACAATACAAATATTGAAATTGGATGTTATTTACGGCAACAAATTGTTTGTCGGTGAATCGAGATACCAATTTTATAATTATAATTATCTTGAAATGAATTATAATCAAATTACTTAGAGGTTGTTACAATGTTAATTGGGTTAGCACAAACATTCTCAGTATTATGCTCATGTTTGTTATATAATTTTCATCAAACATTTTATATAATTCGTAACTTTTCAATTACACATTTTATTAAATTTTATTAAAATATATTAAAATTTTAATTTTAATCTTCACCAAACGTGTTGAAGAGGAATCGAATCTCCTCACTCTTTAGTGCAAGATTTTGAGTCTCAAGTTGCCAACATAGAAATAATGTTTATCTAATTTCCAAAGATTGATACTGTCCAAGAATTTGCTCCATTGCTCATTTAGTGACACTCTATATATTATGAATAATGTTATTTACAATCGCTTACTACCGCAATAGCCCTTCGTAGCATACATATGCCAATTAGTGATTTGTTGTATAAAGTAATAAAAAATTATCATATTAATATATCAAATCATTAACCATCACATGTATGCCACATAGACGACTGCAACACTGAGCGACTGCAAATAGTATTACTCGTGTGCTCTTCCTAAAAAAGGAATTGAAACTCCACAAGATTTTGAATTCTTTGTGCTTATTATTTCACTAATAAAAATGCATTTTGGAGTAAATATTTTTTTATGAAAGAAACAATTACTTAATTACAATACAAATATTGAAATCGGATATTATATACGGCAACAAATTGTTCGTCAGTGAATCGAGATACCAATTTTATAATTATAATTATCTTGAAATGAATTATAATCAAATTACTTAGAGGTTGTTACAATGTTAATAATGGACTTTTACAATAATGGGAGTGAAACCGAGAATAAGAATGTAGACATTGTCATACACATACATAGATATTGATTCTGTAATTTCAAAACAGCATCACATTCGTGTTATTTTATTTGGTGAAAGTTCAAAACTTTTCTTATAATATTTAACAATGTAGTTTACTGTTATTTAATATCTAGAGGTACAAATTTTTTTTTAACTTGTAGTATTTTAATAATGCAGTTAAAAGCAAAATTATTAAATAATATAAGTTAAAAGAGTTTAAACTGCATTATTAAATACTAAAGTTTAGTAATTTAAAAAATAATAATATAATATAATACATTTTAAGTACGATATATAACATAATTAAGCAAATTAAACACAACAAATTATAAAAAAATAAATCCTTTTGAGCTTTCAAAATAGCAAGATGAAAATCACATATAAATTAAAATGTAAAAAAAAGGACGCTACTTTAAAAAAAATGTATAATTTTTTATTTAATCCACTAAAAAATTGATATTTCAAGAAATGAGAAAATCTTCTATAAATTATGTTGAAAGTTTGAGTTAAATGTCTAGAGTTAATTTAATTTTTCTTGAGTTTAATTTCCATACCTCAAGGAGAATACACAATTAAATTATTTGACGTATATTTTCATTTAAATGAAATCAATTTAAGTCTATTGTCTCATCAAACAAAATAGATATTTATGTGAAAAAAGATTATATAAAGTTTCACAAATAAGCCCCCATTTGGCCCTCATTTTATAGAAATGAAAATGGATGGAATAGTATTTTTTTGAAAATGAGTGGTTGAAAAAGAATGAAAAGTTTTCTATTTACATATAATATTATTTTATAGAAAATTGTGTATTTGCGAATATGAGAGAGAAAAATGGAATGAAAAATAATCGGGGCAAAAAAAAATACTTTTCTTTTCAAATATCAAATATATTTTTTTTTCCTTTAGTGAATTCATGGACTTAGAGAATTGATTGAAAAAAAAAAATATTGTCAATATATGATGTAATTATAATAAAAATATCCAATAACTTATTTACAATTTTGATAATAAATTTAAGCGAAGTATTATAGATAGTATTCTAAATGGGGTGCCTAGGCATTCGCCAAGGAGCAAGTTGTGGCAAAAACGCCACGTCTAGTACCTATGGGCTAATTTAACAATCAACGAAAGCATTGACTACTTGAAGGAGCGTCTAGGCACACGTAGGCGAGCATTATTATTATATTATTATTATTTTTTTTAATTCTTAAAACGCTCGTCTGTCATACCGTACATCCATATTTCAACCTTTAGGCAGATAGATTGAAAAGTCCAAAAAGTTACTTATCCACTCATTAGTCCACTAATTGATGGAGATCATCTTTAAAGATTTTGTTATAAAACTTTCTATGTGGGATAAGAATCCCTTGGATTTAGTTTGTAGTATATTGTACTATTGTGTAAATACTTATTTAGCGGCTGTCTAGGAGTGATTCTTCCGGAATTAAAATGAGAATTTTGCCCGTTAGCTACACTACGTGGGTCCCATTGTGGCAGCAGTTAAGGGCAAGTAAAATGTGAAATGCCGAAAATACCCATCTATCATAACAAATTTTTTGACCGTTAAGGACAGAAATGTCATTCTGCCGAGAAAATGGTCCAAAATTGCGGCTACATTTCTGACATATTAATTGAAGTAGTGCAGCCCGGGTCCCACTACCTCATCCAACGGTCAAAAAATGCATTTTTTGAGCAGCAACAATCGCTACCAGACATGGCCTTATATTTTATTAAGTTAGTTAATCATTTTCCTATATTTTACTAAATAATAAAAATTAAAAGCTCTCCAAATATTTCAATTAGCACTATTATAATATATTTTGTTTATTGTTCAAAAATATATTCATTTTGTTAAGCAAACTGCATTTGGTATTATAATTTGTATGTATTGTCAAATAATTTTTAAATTGATTAAAATTTTAAAATAATTTTAAAATAAGAAAACGCTTTTTACTCCTGAGCCTCGTCTATGCGCGCATCGATCGAAACTTGACCTCTACATATCGTCACACATTACACTTTTTAGAATATTGATTATAAATGAGATAATTAATTTAATATGGTACAAGAGCAAATAAAACCGTTTATTTAATTATGTCTCTATCATAAAAAGAAAAAGAGAATAAGTGACATAAAGGAAAAAGGAATTGGCAGGCTCAATGCTGTCATGGAAAGAAATAATAGAACATAACACGAGAAGTAATGGGACTTGGTGGAACTAAAGGTTTGATAAGTGAATTTATTCTCCATTTTGGTGAATCTAAGAATTTACCAAATTATGTAAGTTTGTCTGCAAAATTAGAAAGTGATCTGTACATGATGATATACAAAATTTATAGCCAGATACTTGCCCAGCATTTGAAGCAAAGACTAGCACTTTTAATCAGAACAAGAGTAGATGCCGATTTGGTATATTTGACAAACTTTTTCCTTACTTTACAAAAGCAATCTAGATACCATTCCATTTTTTTTTAAGAATAAATTTTATGAAATATGATTTTTTCAGAGAATTCTTGGTTAGAAAGTTGAAAAAAGTTTTGTATTTATATTCAAATTATTTTATTAAGAGAATGTATAATTAAAAATGAATACGAGGAAAATTGTTCTAAATTAAACAGATTTTATTCTTATATGAACTATATTTTATTCTATATTAACTTAAGATAGGAGTGTTAATTTGGC